AAAAAATACAGTTCAAAGAGTCGCCACCAATATTTGATTAGGGTGTGATTGAGCACCCAAAAATGTTTGTTATTTTAAAAAAAATTAATTTTAATTAAAACAACAAATTAGGGTCTGTGTTACCAAAATCCAAGTTCGGGAGTCGGTTACGTGCGGGGAAGGATTAGCACCCCCACAACGCCCTAAATCGGTACCTCGTCGATTAATTAAAGTCTTTGCAATGAACTTTACAAATTCAAACTTAATTTGATTTTTGATCCCATAAAACAAAGATGTAAATTTAAAAACATTCAAAAGCACCCAAATAAATTAAATTAAAATTATCAAGTCGTTTTAGAAAGATAAAGAATGTTCGATTATTTAAAAATATCGAGACCAGATCTTAAAAGCTATAACAACCTTTTCTCGATAAATTTAAATAAACGAACATTTCCTTTTCTTTCGTTCCCAAATTTTAGGTAACGAATCAATTTTTTTGTTTCACTTTTGGGATATACTTTTATTTTAAAATCATTGAAAGCGGACCTCAAATCAGTTATGACTGCCCACTTAAAACGATTTTAAATTAAAAATATATTACCCTTAATCTAATTATGTAATATGTTGAGTTATGCAAATAAGGCTATCATGTAAATTGTGAAAAAAATATCATGCTAAAATCAATTAAACAAAAAAAAACATACAATGTGACATACAAAAATTATATACATACATTTTAAAATTAAAAGTTATAAATTATGCACATTAACATATTATATATACAAATGTGACTTAAATAACAAAACAAAAACATGACATGCTAAACTATAAATTTAAAATATATATATATATATATACATTGAAAATGACTAAATTAAATAAATGTAAAATTCAACATACAAATCAAAAAAAAATTAGGGACTTAAATAAAAACACGCATAAATATAGAGGATTTAACATAAATAATCTAAAAAATTACAACTAAAATTACAATTGGGAAAACAACGAAATCAGGACAATTATAAAATGGTAGAATTCAAAAGCAGTCTTAAAGGTGACTAAAGTGTAAATAAAAGCTAAACATGTGTGGACCAAATACTAATTTTACTTTAAAGTTACAATGGCTAAACACTAATTAATCCTAAAATGTTAATATAAAACTTAAGTAAAACTTAAACCTAAGCTAAACTGAACTCTGCCTCTCCTCACGTTTCCTCTTCACTATCCCTTTCTTCTCCGATCGTTCTTCTTCACCAACCTCACGACCACCGCTCAACGGTGACCAGAGAAACTGAAACTAATCCTAAACCAACATCCACGCCCCGGTTTTCCCTCTAGATCACAAACCCGAAACTAAGAGCTCGCTAAATTGACCTCCAGAAGACAAAAAAAACAGTTTGTATGTCTCTCGAAACCAACCACTATCGCTCGCCTCTAGACACTTTGACTCGCACTACGCTGGCGACCTACGACAAGGAATCAACGATGAGGTAAAATATCTCACTTTTCCTACTGTTTTTTTTTACACACCACATGCCAACGATCCCTGAATTCTAAGGTTGACGAGGAGGTTGAACCCCAACATTTACTCCGACGAAACTACCCTACATCAACGAAGGGACCATCCACCATATACAGAAATAAACTTCCCTCATTCTAAAGAATCTGCTATGTTGTAAACGGACGACTAAGTAAGTTACGACTAGTGCCAATTTCGATCGAGACCCAAAACAGACATAAATAAAATGGAACTAGTTTATATCTTTATTCCTATTTGTTTTAGAACATATGATGTTTATTATTTAGAAGCATAAATAATAATAATAACCTGTTGATGGGCTGCTAGTGTTGCTTTAGAAACTCACTGCTTGTGCTAGTATTGCTCTTAAATTGCGTAGGTGATATTGTGCTTTGTGCCAGTATTGCTCTTGAATTGCAATGGTGATATTGTTGAAAAATGAATGATGTGTTGCCTTTTACATTGCTTCCTTCCGCTCCCTAAAATGGATTTTTAACACTGCTTTTACACTATTTTTTTCCATAGTTTTGAATCAGGTAGTAGAACTCTTTTCACTTTTTTTTCTCTTCTTTTCTACAGTTGTTGATATCTCCCAATAAAAACCGACCCTCTTTTTTGATAGTTTCCAGTGGTTAAAACCCCCTCAAAACTGACCCCCACTCTCTATCTAGTGGTTAATTTTAACTACTAAAAACTGACCCCAATTTCTCTCATCTTTAGCATGCCGCTGCTGTCCATCGGGCTTGAGATGGACCTCCATCTGGTTTGGGCTCATCTGGGCTCTCATTGCTTCGGGTCTGCTCCGACTTGGCCCCGGATAAATCGAGCATCTACAATATAGTCTTGTAAATTGAGGTTCTTTTGTAGCCTGTCTTTTTCACTCATGTATTCATGCAGCCGTATTGCCCCACATTCTTTTCCATAAAATCTAGATAACTCTTTTACCTAAATTTTTTTTCCTGTCTTGGTAACACTGTTCATGTTTTAGGATTTTATGGCTGGAAATCTTCCATGTATTCCTGGTGAACTGCCAAACCTTAATGACTGGGAAAATCACTTGACAACTATATTTCCAGAAGTAATTGCTTAATTTAACATGATCTTCTTAAACTTCGTACTTTCCCTATGATTTTATGTTATTTAAGCCATGTGATTCTTCCCATTCAGGTTCGACTGAAGAGGTACTTAGAGATGAGGGGAGCTGATGGAGGGCCTTGGAGGAGGTTATGTGCCCTGCCAGCATTTTGGGTAATTGGCCCTTTTGATGTGCTCATGCATAATCCCTTTGTTTGCGAATTATTTTGTAGTACTTTCTATTGAAAATCAGTATTTTGACAGTATTGTACAAGTTTGAACACAAATACACAATCAAGGCTAGGTAGGTTGGCTGAACTTGAATAACATTATTCTGTGTTTCCGGCTTCTGTTGGTCCACATTGATAAAGCTGTTGAGTGGGCATGTGTTATGTTCTTTTAATTTTAGCTGTTAGGTGTACTTAATAAACTGTTTGTTGAGTTTTCGAGCATCACTTCTTCAACATTGCTATTACAGCCATGTAGCTGACCCTTAAAGGCTAAGTTTCATGTTACGTAATTTCGATTTAACAGTTCTTGTTCGTGCCTATATTAATGACTTGTTTTTACATTTTCATCTTTCTTATGATTAATAATCTTCTTGTACAACTTGTGGAATACTTGCTGAAATTAAAATTCAAGGGTTCGTCATGTTAAGTTTCTTTCGGTTTTCAGGTAGGTTTATTATATGATGAGGCCTCGCTCCAGAGTGTCCTAGACATGACTGCTGACTGGACTCCCGAAGAAAGACAAATGTTGAGAAACAAGGTAATTAAAACAATTTCCTAGCGAATAAATTTGCATGCCCCTTTTGTAGTGCTAAGGCTGCTAGTCTAAGTTAAAGATCTATTTGGTAGGTTCCAAAGACTGGTCTTAAGACGCCATTTCGAGATGGGCTTCTGCAGCGAGTTGCTGAAAATGTTCTCAAGTTGGCAAAGGTATCATAGGACATGTCCTCGTTTTTTCGTTTTTATATAAATCCTAGATTGCTCATTATTACCATTTCTGCTGATGCAATGCTTTTTCAACTCAATTAATTATCCATGTAGGATGGCTTGGAAAGAAGAGGCTTCAAGGAATCTGGATTCTTGAATGCCATGGCAGAGGTGGTTCAAACAGGTACACAGCTGAGATTTTGTCTAATGTTTACATTTTTCCTAATTACTAAGCTTAACATAAATAGAAACATAAAAAGAGAAAAATCTGAAAGCGTTTGAACCAATTAAACCTTGGTAGCGCCCATTGTTAGTTTCTAAATATTAAGCTAATTTCTTATTCAAGCGACAATGACAAGATACGAACCAAAGTTAAACTACCTGCCTTTCTGAATGATCTTTTCGTGTTGCTTCGATTATTTTTCATTTAAAACACTCGTGTATGAAAATAGTGTTCGGCATAGCTATAACGATTTAATCCTCGAAATGTAATATGATTTTATCTCCGTCTCTTCACTTGATGGCAGGTGTGACACCAGCGGAGAAGCTTTTGGAATTGTATAACGGGAAATGGGGACAATCTGTTGACCCTGTTTTTGAAGAACTACTTTATTGAAATGAATTGGGAATCAAATTCTTAAAACGGTGTGCTCTTCATGCATCATCTAAGTTAACTGCGGATGATCGATACACATAAAACTTGCTTGCTTCTGTGAATTTTGTAGAGGAATAAACGATGATGCATTTGACTGAATGTATTACAAACTTTGTTCCAAATCCATGGTTTAACCCATGACGTATATGGTAATGTCATTGTTGCTGCTGTTTCACATAATATCTTAATGTGGAAATTACATGCTTTGCTTGGATAATGATACTATCTAATTAGAGGGTGACCAATTCCTCTTAACTGTTTGATAACAAAAATGAAAAATTAGCAAAACCACTACTAAATTAGCGATTCCACATAAAATTAGATTTCTGTATTTTTTTATCAATTATATAATAAAAATATCTCAAACATACATCAACATATGATTCATTAATTTAGATCAAATGCTGAGGAGGTTTTATTATAGAATGGATCTTATTAATTCAGTTTTTTTCCCATTTATATCTATGTGATTCATTAATGAGCTTAAAATCTTATCCCGTTATAAATTAAATATCTAAATAAGCAATCATCGCCATTAGTACTGTACATAATTACAAGCATAACAAATCTTCTATTCACGCTCTCCCTCTCTCTATTTATTCCTCCAAAGATCGTTGAATTGGAAATTCCGGTACGAGTGAAAAAAAAAGGTAGATCCCCTATCAAACTCACCAAAACACAACCCACATCCAGGATCTGTAAAGGAAATGTTTCAAGCTGACCAGAACTGGACCGAATGAAACCTGTCGTGCACGGTGATGATCGATATCGTGTGTGTGTTCAGTGTATTGCATGGTTTCTTTAGAGGTTAAATAAGATGGCTCTCTTTCCTTGGCTCTCTTTCTTACCTGGAAATTGAGAGCTTTGTCAATGGAAGGTCATCTTCAGGTTGATTGGCGAGGCGACTTATTTAGCTTCGATTGTGGTCAAGAAGTAGCGTCAGCGTTCTTCTTATTTTCAATCACGGTACCCTCCTTGAGAGCGACTTGTGCCTCGTCCTCATTCTCTAGAGCTAATAGAGCAGCAGCTTGCAAGTACGATGCAACATGCCAAACTGGAGATACTATTTGTGCTTGCATAGCATCATTGAGGGTTTTTTGGGGCATGTCATTCATGAGGTACGACAAAATGCGTCGTGCATAAACTGTTGGGGAAACCATGGTTCCAACATCAATGAACTATGACATGAATGTACAGTCAGAGTCTGACTTAGCAAGAAAACTTCTATGGGTAAAATGTTTGACGCTCGGAGAAGAATAGTAAACAAATTCTTGCCTGGGTATTGCATTCGATGGCAGCAGTAAAATCTTTATGCCTAAAAGCAGCATCACCCTTTTTCTTCGACGTCAATGTTTCCCGCATCTGGTTGGTCCACATCTGGAATGAAAGCTGCAAACCATAAAACTAGCAGTGAGAAAAGCACTCGCCGCACAGCAGAAACAAGCAAGCTCCAACTCGATTCAGTATTGTGCATTGACCACTCCAAACCCACAAAAAGAGAAGGTCGAATGTTAAAACATTTTAAGAGAACACGATTATATTCTCTAGACAGCAACCACAAATTAACTAAAAGAAAATAGGAATTTCTAAATCCGAAAACAGGCACACAGGTCTTTTTTGGGGGTGGGGTGGATATGAATACGCCCAAGGGTGAATGGGGATTTGAATCTTGGACCATTTACCTCTCAGGGAGAAGTAGTTACCACTTGGCCAAGGCTTGATTACGAAGGGCAGACAGTACAGGAAAAACAAAATTGCTAACTTGTCAGGCAAGAAACAAACCTCAGTGGCAACACCCTCATCATCTTTATATCCAAGCTTCTCTAAAACCTCATGAATGGCAGTCAAATCCATTCTTAAGCAGAATTCCCCAAGCGGTGTCAGAGGTACGACATCAGCACCATTACGGATGCCCATTAGTACATGAGAAGGAACCTTCGAAATAAATTGAAATAAAGGAGCTTCTCAATAATGGAAATGCATTATTCAACCTTAACACAGTTGAGACCAAGTTAATCTTTGCCTAAAATGGCATCTACATCTATTTTGGACTTTGGAGTCAATATAATAATGTGCTAGGAAGAGTAACCGCTTCTATCTTGCTTGTATGGAATGAACAATGGAAAACATAAAAGTTATAGAACGAGGATTTGTCTCAGTGACAAAATAGACAAATCAAAAGAAACTGTAATTCCTATTTAAGAAATAAGTTTGAGAACAGAAAGACTTTCCATGACAGCCGTATATGGACAAGTGATTTTGGAAATAATAAAATGAAGTTACTTGAGAAATATAAGATAAATAACCTCAGCATCCCTTTGAAGAGGAATTATTGCAGAAAGTAATGACTTTGGATTTGGCCGTTCACGGGGCTCATATTGCAGACATCGAGATGCTAAACCTACTAACTCAGTCCCATCCTCATTTGAAAATTGATCTTCCAAACAAGAATCTATTAGCATCTGGATGTTCCTGTCACGTATAAGGTCCAGCGCCTGAACGAAGTGATATAAGTAAATATTAGATGCACTGCAGTCGGCATAACTACACGATTTAACATGGAAAAAACAAGCAACAATTTATTTTTGCGGGAACAAAGTGTCATTCCCATAAGAATGAACTCTCAAAACAATAATAACAACGAAAATAATAGTCCATCAGAAACGTATCAACAGGAAACAGCTTAAGTGGTGCAATTAATAGGTTCCAGCTTGAAACTTAACAATGGTCCAGAGAAGTCGGAACCACTGTTCAATGTTTAGTTGCATCTCGGAATGATAGCCATAAAAAACATTACCTTACTATCCTGAAATTAAGAAGCAGTCATTAATCACAAATAACCTTTCAAACAGGTACAGCATAAAAGGTACCATACATCCTACATGTTGGACATATAGATAATAATACAAGGAAACGAGTATTATTCAAAAAGTGTGTTGCATCAAATGTCTCCACTCTCCAGTGTACTTACGTGACTTGGAAGAATATGTTTTCCACTGAGAAGATCAAGCAGAAGGGTGCCAAAACTATAAATTACACTTTCTGGTGTTACTCTTCCTGCAGACACGAGAACAATTTAGAATACTAAACTCCAAAAGGATAAGCAACTGATAGTGATATTCTTCATCATAAAACCAAATGCAAATTATTACAAAATAGACAAGATAATGACGAAAAAATCAACCCAAAATAAAAGAAAAACAAACAAACGGAGACATAGATTTTACATGAAAAATCCTAGTAGAAGAAACTCACTATTAACATTTTTTTTTGGATAATTCAAATTTTATTACCCAAAGAAGCAAAATTGCTACAAAAAACAATCAACGATCACCTAGAATATTTACATACTAATTACAAAAAAAAATCGATCAGTTAATCAATACCCCCATGATATACAGAGTTTGGAGTTAACATAGTCAATCCTATTGATATTTTCCCCCCTCAAATTAATTCCAACTAAATCTTTGATGCTACTAAAGATTTCAACTGAATTTCGAGAGCAGCCTTTGAAGATTCTACAGTTGCGTTCCTCCCACAAAACATAAATGTTGACGCTCCAAGCGATTTTAAGGATAGTGGTTAAGAGTGACTTGCCTTTCCAAGAGTTACTTGCCCAAGCTACCATGTATTCCCAAGATTGTAAAGTCTTCTTTAATCCAGTAAGGTGCAGAATATTCTCTCTTAATTGAGAAGCGAAATGGCATTCGAAGAACAAATGATTTTGACCTTTCTGAATGTCGTTACAAAGAACACAAATCCCAGAAGAAGTGATCCCCATGCGTTGTAAGCGGTCACAAGTTGAAAGCCTATCTAAAATAACCATCCAAACTATCAAACTATTAACAAAATTGTTATAAAGAGAGTTGCAAAAATCTTTAAAAAAAGCCTAGACCCTAGATACATATATATAGTGGGGGGTGCGGTCACGAAATAGGTCACCCACCACAAATCCCTATTTTTATCTCCTAAAATAATTCTTTATTAAGCGGTCGCACTGCAAACTTTTTGGACTGCACCAAACAAAATTCGGGTAACAACCTCAAACAATACTTGTTAAAAATTTATAAGCAGAAAAATAATCAAAATGAAATCAACTAAAGGTAAAATTTAGCGTGGTTTTGGTCCAACCTACCTTTACGGATGACGGGATAAGAGAAAAATCACTATAAAACATAGAGATTACAAAGAGTTTACATACATGAAATTTTTTGTACCCCATAAGTCCAATAAATATCACAGATAAGTCCAATAAATATCAGATTCAGTGTCTTACCAAAAGTCTTCCTACAAATACCAATCTATCAAATAAAGTGACGGTAGATTGCACAACGAGAAAAAAAAACCGAACAAGAACCAAAAAATGGTCAGGAAAAAATCTTATTTAACAACTTGATTAACAAAGTCCTAACTGGGTTAACTTCATGGATATTCAACAGCCAAGTCCATAAAAAATTAGCATGCATGTAAAGAAGCTTATTGTTTTATTAAAGAGGATAAGCACCTGTCCTCAAATACTCTGGAGGGGTAAATGCCAAGTTCGTGCTGTAACTTTTTCCATCTCTACTGTTCTTCATTAATCCAAAGCATGAAAGTCTAGGGTTGCCCTCCTGCAATTAATATGCATAATAACTGATGAAGTCATACTAATTTCTAACGAAATGGCTTTATTTTAGAGGGTAAGAATTCCACGCTGTGGCCGAGGGGACCTGTGCTTGAATCCCAACAGCCACGTGAAAACCATAGAAAGAAAAGGAGTATTTTATGTAACATACATCATCGCAAACAATTCAATATGCATTTAGGTCATGGTACAGAGCATGTCTAATTTGAAGGAAGTGGTTATAGTTTAGTGGTAAGAATTCCACGTTGTGGCGGAGGAGATCTGGGCTCAAATTCCCAGCAGCCATAAGTTTTTTCCTTTGGTTTTTTAATAAAAATTTTGGCTTACCAACCAAAAAAAAAACAGAAAACAAAGAAAGAACATCATCGAAATCAATTTTTGTCCAATTTTCTTAAAACGAGTATTATTATAATTAAAATTTTAATTTAGTCTCATAAAAATAGTGATTGATCATATTCTAAGATTAATTAAAAATATCTATATTTAATATGTTATTAATATATAACATCGCCCATTAGAAGTTTAATTATTCATAATTGATTTTAATATTTTAATTTGCTATTAATTGTGTCGCATGTTCGTTTAAGTGCATCTTTCATGACATTAAAAGATTAATAATATGTTACTTTTAATGTTTCATTTAATTACAAGAATCTTTTTTAACAGAAAAAATCGATATTTTTATCTTTCATGGCGGTAAGGCTTATTAGCCGTTTGCCAGCTCCCTTCTAATGATCGAGAAGAGAATGAAACAAATCAACGGTGGTTGACTAAGTCGACTAATAGGACATTTTACTTGAAGAGAAAGATTGAAAATTTGAAATCCTTTTCCAACTAGAATCAAGAAATCATCTCTCTATATAAACCCCTAATATATTCCTAGCAAAGTTACGTTTGAGAAGGAGCTCTATCTTGTCTCACTCTCAACAATGGAGGACGGGCAACTCGTGGTTTTTGGTTTCATGGGAGTTGGCGGCGCCGCCGACACTAGGGCAAATGATATAAACCCGGATCGTGAAGAGAGCAATGTTTCGTTGGATTTGTCTCAATCATACGTCGTCGTCTACAGCGACCAAGAAGGAGAGACGAGGAGAAATCCACTGCATGGAGAAGAACAGTGGAGCTCTATCTAGTGTTTCAACAATGGAGGACGGGCAACTCGTGTTTTTTGATTTCATGGGAGTGAGCGGAGACATTAGGGCAAGAGAGATAAACACAGAACGTGAATAGAGCAATGTTTCGTTGGATTTGTCTCTTTCACTTGGTAATACGTCGTCGTCGTCTGCAGCAACCAATAAGGAGAGACGCGAAGAAATCCATTGCAAGAAATCAGAACGCACAATGATGTACTGCATGGAGAAGAACGGTGGAGCTTTTCCGTTGGAATCGAGCAACGCCGCTACTGATGGCGGAGCCTCGTTAGAGATATCTCTTTCCCGTGACAATATGTCCACTGGAACTTCTAAATCCGATAAGGGAAAACAAGTGATTGAGTACAAAGAAAACGATGACCGACACACAAGAAACTTGGAGAAGAAGTGCGGTGCTTTGTCGCATGAACCGACTGATGGGTCATTGGTATTATCTCCTGCTGTGAACAAAAGGTGGGGGGTTTGAAGTCGGTGACGGTAGCAATCTGAATCACCCTTATCTCAACAAACGCTGTAGTATGAGGGAAGATTTTGACATAGGCCTTACTTTATTAGCTCTGAATGATGGTTTTACATCCCACAAGAAGAGAAAGCCAATGGAGAATCCGAAACATTCTTCCACCATAAACAAGAGAAGAAGGGTTGAACAAGAAACTGTACTGAGGAGGATGGCTGCTCAGATGAGGGTTGGCCCTGGCAATGATCCATGGTGCATAAAGAAGAGGCTTTTCAAGAGTGATCTGGGCGACAATTCGAGGCTTCTATTGGCTTCGAATTGGTGGAATCCCACATCTTGCCACACTGGGACGCTGCTCAAATAGCACAGATTCATAATGGGATGCAGGTTTGGGTTTACGACTGTGATACAAACAGTCAACAGGAGATGGTTTTCAAGCGATGGAGGAACGGAGGTTACGTCTTCATCAAGAACTGGATTCAGAACTTCGTGAGAAGGAGAGATCTAAAGCTGAACGATGAAATCGGACTGTATTGGGATATAAATAACTCTCTGAATGCAGTTACATTAGCATCATGCATAAGACAATCACTCTCTGAATGCAGTTCTATTGATTTGTTAAGTTTTCGATGCATTCTGAGAAAATACTTGTTGTGTACAGTTTTCATTGCCATTACCCCAAGGTGGAAGGGATGCCATAACCAAAAACCTCATTTTGCGTGAAGATCAACTTCCCCAAAAGCTCCTTTACCCTAAAACTAAGAAGAAAGTTAGTAAACAGGTTTGTCTCCTTTTTTCAAAAAAAAATTGTACGTCTTTTTGGTTCATATGTTAATTTACAGCTGAGAGATGTGTTCTGTTTTATATAGGGGGATGATGACCTCCTCATGGCCGGGGACACCTTCACTCACCATACCGACAAGAGAGCGCCTCTTCGGCCTCCTGTTAGAAAAGCATTAGCGGTCTTTAGTGGAAAGAGGAACCAAAACGACAATCATTACTCTCGATCGAAGCACTAGTAACTTTACCGTTTTTATCTATATTTCTACTTGAGAATGAGAATGAACGATTTTTTTATATGAAGGGTGAAGAGTAAGTTTTATATAAATCGTGTATGTTAGTTGAGACAACATGGTAATAAATTATAATATATAAAACAACTGATTAATACACGGGCACGAGGGAAAATATGGTGACTTCAGAAAACTTTCTGAACATCCAAATCCTAATGGTAAAGCCAAATGTTCCTTTCTGGCAATCAACATTTACAAATACCAGAACGACTGAATAAAAGCCTAAAACTATTATGTATTTTGATGTTACAATGTGTGTTAGCTCTCAGTTCAATGAGCAAGTTCAGCCCATGCTATAGAAGATGCCCTTCAACTCAACTGATATGGTTGCGTATCGATTCCACTCTCCCAAAATCAGGCTTAATGCCTCCGTTGATAGCCGTTTCAGACAAAGTCCAAATGAATACAATCATGATGAAAGAGCAAGTTCAGCCCATGCTAATGATGTCTTGAGCTCAACTGATAAAGATGTGTCGATTCTGCTCTCCAACATTAGGCTTATTTCCTTCATCGATGGCCGTTTCGAGAAGTCCGGATGAACGCAGAGGCTTATGACCTCGCATACGACTTTAAGGTCATCATAGCTGAACTGTTTCAGCTCTGGATCCACAATGTAAGACATCACTTCTGGTAATTCAAGATACTCCCTGGCCTGTAATTCAGAGTTCGAAAGCTTAGCATATCTTTCGATAACGGGGATTACAACATTGAATTTCTTTAAGAAAACAGGGTGTTCGGGAAGGTTCCTTACCCAATCAATCAAGCAGCCTTTGTCCTTGCAGAATGGAGGCTTCCCACTAATTATCTCCAGTAAAAGTATACCAAAATCATGAATATTTCCTTGGATATCGAGATGTCGATTCTCCAAAGAATTCGGAAGTAGACAGATAGAGCCATTACTGCCGATAGAACCAGAGTTCTTTTCTGATCTAGCAAGAATCGTCTTCCAACTTTCAAAATCAACCAACTGTCATGATTACCGGGGGAAAACTAATATTAATCATCATCAAAAGCATATCCGGCACGACGACATAAACAGAAGTATACACATTTCTTATTCCGATAAGGTAACGACCCTAATGAATGGCAAGAGGAGAGGAGGTATACCTTGGGAGAAAAATCCTCTGTAAGATACACAGCACTAGAGTTCAACTCTGATATAGTGAATGGTGGATCAAGCTCAGTATGAAGATACATGAGTCCTCGAGCAATGCCGAGAATAATTCTCATTCGTCGGGTCCATGATAACTGGGATCCTTCTCCATCTGCATCAAAATCATATACTCCGGTAAAATTGGATATACGAAAACTTATCATTGTGAGAAAAAGAGGAAGTATGCTTACAATGCAAATGCTCGTAGAGTGTTCCATTTGAAGCGTATTCAAAGACAAGCATCCTTGTAAATGGAGTGCTCTCTCTACAATAACCTAACAATTTCCCAACATTTTCATGATTCAATCTTGCCAAATCTGCGACCTGAAAAGCAAATAAGCAAAAACCTTAGAACCAAATTACTCGAAGTTCATAAATTCTCGCATCCAAATGTTGCATCACAACTTTAGATGAATGAATCTTTTCGTCAAACTGTTACCAGAAATATCAAGTACCTCTCTCTGGAAATAGAGCTCAAGATAGCCGGTCCAGTGCTGCTCTTTAATGCAGAAGGATATCACGGCGATTTCAGGGCCACCCTTCATGGTCCCTTTGTAGACCACACTGTCCGGAGAGGAGCCAATAATGTTGCTGAAGTCTTCACAAGCTACTTCAAGCTCTTGTCTACCGAATTTTGTAACATCTTTCAACAACTCTGAATCTGCAGAAAAATCACAATGTCAACCAATAGTACTTTGAAAGATATGCTACAAGAGAGGTAATTTATGCCGAATGTTGCAAACTAACCTACATATACCATCTTATGTTCCTTTTCACTCCCTGATTTCTTCCAAGGGATTATAATTGCAGGCTTGCTATTGCATCTTTGGAAAGCGGTAAGGACAGCGACAAGAAAGAGACACCCCACCATAATTCCTGTAGCAATCTCAAGTGCCAAAAGCCAGACAGGTTTCGATGATTTCTGTTTTAGATGCTCAGCAGCAGCTTTTGGAAGACTATGCTTAGGACTCAGCGATTTATGACTTCTCGATGGCTGAGGACCTAAAAACAAAAAACAGCACCATAAAAATCAATCTTGCATTCTTGCAATGGTCATACTCACAAGACCATCAGCTAGCATTGGCCATCGCAATAAGGAAATAAATCGAGGAAATTTCAAGTTTCACGATGTTATCTTATCCAAGAACATATGCTCTTCAAATTTCGTCACCCGAGCCACAGACTAAGGGAAAATAATGTTAATACTTACCACATTGTGTGAGGGGGCGCTGTTTAGCTTCTTTTCCCTGAAGACAATTCCCTTGAAAGCTCGTGCTGCATGGATATGTGAAAACATAAGACGATTGGATAAAAAGATGCTAGCACAGGACCTATGACACACAGAAAAAGGTTTACCTTGGAAGATTTTCCAAACACTTCGGTATGCTTCCGACAAAAAAATTGAAGGACAAATCTACCACTTTTAGCTGAGATGCACTACAAAGCCCTGTTATGTTTGAACCCGAACCATTCCTGAAGTGAAAACAATTATAACAAATCAACTTCTATAATCCCTTACTAGCAACTAAAATACAAGCTTCATGGATTAAAAAAAGTCGTTCGTGTCCTGTGTTGTAAACAGTTTCCCGTACCCGACATTAAAACTCTAGATGGAACATACATAATATAATGATCTTCTGAATGTCATTTTTTCAAAAATATGCATAATCTACCACCTTGTTCGTTCACTAGACACTTTCAATCATTATCAGCGTATTCGAGACAACATAGAAATCAAATTTGCTATATGAATTGAATATATAGAAACAATAAGTGTTCACTAGGAAAATAAAGGGCCATATTTACTAATGTGCAGTTGCATTTCATCGCATAGATTTTTTCTGCTTACATTCCATGCATCTTAGCCACAGATGATGAATTGCTTTCAGCAGGAACGGTTCCTTTAAGTTTATTTCGATCCAGAATAAGTTCCTGAAGATACTTTAAATTGCCAAGCTCACCAGGCAGGCTTCCGGTCAATCCATTTGACTGAAGGTTTCTGTGAAAAACAACAGTAAACAAGATAAGCAAAATAGTATAAAATTACCACAAATGTTAACTTCCTCGAAACACAAAGCTTGGGGTTTACATTTTCACCACACTGGTTAAATTCCCAAGTTCCGGAGGAATGATACCAATCAGTTGATTCATCCCCAAATCCAACACTTTGAGGAAATTCAACATGCCTAGTTCTTCAGGTATCGTGCCGATCAGATTGTTCTTGCGTAAAGTCCTGAAAGAGCATATGAAATCATGAGCCAAACCAATTACAAGTTGGGCCTTAGAGCATCATTTTGAGCACATAAGAACAAGAACATACAGTTCTTGCAGGTAGGTAATTCGGCCGATTTCCGGAGCAAGAAAACCCTTCAAAGATGAATTGGATATGTTTCTGCAACACTCATAAAATGGACAAATTGTGAACAAATCCACCATCAAAGAACATCGCAAATTTTTCGGTTTCAAAGCTTACATCTTGATAACATGTTGTTTCTCCTTATTACAAGTAATCCCAGTCCATCCACATGGATCAGCATCTACGGCATTCCAGCTTGAAAAAACCAGATTTGGGTCTTCATAAATAGCTTCCTTAAATGATGTAAGAGCCCGAACTTTACAGAAAAACCACAATTCAAAACTCACAGTGAGGATAATTATAATAAATATCCCTAAAATCATGAGCTTAAATCTATCTAAAAAAAGGAAAAACATTAACTAAAACACCATGTAACACATAGTTGACCATTTAAAGACATAATTTCTACCAACATTTTCCAAGTAACCAAACAAGATCTATAAAAATAGCAAAAGCAAATACAAAAAGAAATAAAGCTCATTACCTTCATTAGTAGGGAAAGGAGCACAAGTCACACAAAAAACTCCAGACGCCAAAAAAATAAGCAAAAAGGAAGTGTATGATCCCATTTTTCCAACCATAAGTCTCCTTTTTGACACCAGTGAGTAGAAATCAACCATTCATCAACCCAGAAAACTCTCTTTTCTTATCATTCCTCAAGCAAATTCACCAACACAAAAATGAAGCAGAGATAGTAAAAAACAGAAGAAAAAGAAGAGCACAACTGAGTAGCAGATGTGGGATTTTATCAAGAGACTAAAACTAAGGAAAAGTTGAAAGCTTCGTTGCACTAATCTGCTCTAATCTGCTGAAATGGGGTTGCTTTGTTAACAGAGAAGGTACTAAAGTGAAAGAGAAACCAAGAAGAAAAAGGATTAATGAAGAGATAAAGTTGCTAGTAATAAAAGATTACAGGACTTAAAATCCATGATTTTGAAACAAACCCATTAAAGAAACTCACATGAAAAAGACAGGAAATTATGTGTATTGAGGAAAACTTGGATTGAAATCAGGGAATGAATTTAAGAATGTTGCTTTTTTTTTTTTCATTTCATGTTGTGTGATTTGAGAAGTTGGAATGGCAATTTCGTAAATTAATTCTTACTTTGGGGGTAGAATTTTGATAATATAGTTTCGGTAATTTTGTTCGCTGCCGATGAATTTGTGCTAATGATTTGCGTTCAGGGCAGCCAAGATCGATTTGAGATTTTGACTGCTTTAATCTCGTGATATTTTGAACTTGAATTTCGGTGAACGGTTTTAATACCGTGTGAACTGGTACAGTTTAAAACCATGGTCGATCACGTAAAAATTTTTTTTATTAATTTAAAGTAAGTATATTATATTATCTATTTAAAGATTATTCTTAATTATATGACATTTAAATTCTTAAAATTTATGGTGTTTAAATCCAAAGCCGATGAGTAATAGTAATTCTTTTACTATTAAATTCACTTGATTCATGTCGATCACGTAAATTAAAATTTATATTAAAGAGATGTTTGGTAAATTAAAAAAATTAAATATTAAATATTAAGTTTGTTATATCATCTTTATATCTCTTTAGTCAAAATTAACTTTCACACATTAAAATTTTTTGAAAATATTTTTTATCGATAATATTTTTATTTTCTAAAGTTATTATTTAAAGAGATTCCTTCATAAAATAAAACTTTTGATTGATCATAAAACTTTAATAAAATTTTTGATATACTTAAAAGATCTATCAAGACCAAATATATTTATTGACCTTCATATTCATACATTCTATTGGTCTATAGATATCAATATAATTATCTTATTTTTCATCAATAAAGATTAAATTATAAAATAAAATTATATTATGAATATATTTTTACATTCACGGTATATTTTCAAAATGTTGATGGAATTTTGTTTTTATGTGAATAAATACAGAGAAAATGAATTTTAAAGAAAAATTAGGGTTAACAACTAATCTTATTGATAATTAAGCAAAAGCTAAGGACCCCTCCGACGATTAAGGGCGGTGTTCTCCCCTACAACAACATGAAAATCACCGCACTTTTTAATTATCGTATCACGATATATATCATTTAAAATATCACGATATCTTAAAACGTTGAAGAAGCAAAGACAGCCTGTGATTGCACAGAATCAGGTTGACTATTGCGACTCAAAATACCGTGATTTGGATTCTATGTTAAAAGACTAGAATGCCCTTCAACCTTTTTTTTATAGATTTTCTCTAGTATCCAATCATAATTCATATATTATCGGGCCTATTTACGGTATTAGATTTTAATAATTAATTTTTAAATTAACATTTTTTATTAATTCTTAGAATGATATTTTTTATCACATATGATAAGGACCGTAATTATAGGTATGGACAGACACATAAATTTATGTTATAGGTGAACATATAAAATTTTAAATGAAAATAACTTATAGAATTTTAGGATATGAAAATAAATTTACAATCGAAAATATAATGAAAATATAAAAAAAAATAGGAATTTAAATTTTTTAGAAGAGGGTATGTCCCTATCAGCTCCCTCTAGATTCATCACTATTTTTATGATTAAAAAATCAATGAAATTTTTTAAAGATTACATTAATAAGGAGTAAAATGAAAATAAGAAAAAAAAATAGTGTGTCAAAATAAGAAAATTTGTTAAAATAAATAATGCACACAATATGTTGACACGTGTTTATATGAACATAAACACGAGTTGAATGATAATTACGATAACAATACATGTACATGAGATTTATCTTTAATCATTCAAAACTATACGTTAAAAAATATATTTAAACATTTGAACATACCAATATCTAAATAATGTATAATTTATTGATGGATTTGCCCGAAACAACGTCATTTAGATATTAAATTTTAAATTATTTAAATATAACTTATTAAATATATATTTATTAAGTGATGAAAAATAAGACTTGTACACATACGTGATTGTTATTATCCAACTCATACATTTTTTTTGGATAATCTGTATTTATAACCCAAGAGAAGCAGAAGACTGCTACATATGAACCAGTACTTTACAAAGAAACAAACTGTTTTAAAAACAAAAGCCCCTAGCAACAGATAACCAAAAACCAGTACAAGGTGATCAACAGAGGGGGAAGCGCTTCAAGATATCACGCAATGTTCCAGCTAGCGCAGAGAGTAGCGTTTCTCGGATCTGCTACGTTGATAGAGCAACCACGCAACCTAATTCGTACGACAGCTTTTACATCCTCAAGGATAGTAGACCACGGTCTAGGGACTCCCCCAAACAACCTGTCATTTCTCTCTTTCCATATCCAGTACACATGGCTCGACAAAGCAAGTTTAAGCATTCGCGTGATGAGGGATTTGCCTTTAAAACAGTGAGTGGCCCAAGCAAGCTCGCCATCCCAGTGAGAAGCTCGACGATTAACACCACAGAGCTGCATAATGGTCTTCCAGAGATTCCCCGCGTAGTCACACTCAAGTGTCTCAGACTCCAAGTTACATAACAAGCACTTATCATTATCTATGTCAAGTCCCATTCGCAACAGCCTAATCCTGGTAGGAAGTCTATCCAGGATTGTCATCCAAAGAATAATACAGTACTTAGGGATACGTCCAGCAAACCAATCTAGATGATGCCACACAACCTTTGGTGCCTTAGGGCGAATGGCCTCCCAAATCTGCCTTGTGCTAAGTTCTTTGCCCCGATTAACAAATAAATGATGAGCAGCAGGTCTCAACTTCAGCAATCTCCTGAAGTACCAGCTAGCATTAGAAGGTAAGTTCAACTGCCAAAAGTCCGAGCTTTTAATAATATAGGAACAAATCCAAGCTACCCAAAGGGAACCCTCATCTGCCAACAAGTTCCTGATAAGCTTAACGAAACAAGCTTTGTTCCATCCAAGGATATCAATGACCCCAAGACCCCCTTCAGACTTTAGAAGGCATATTTGTTTCCAACTCACCCGAGCTCCCTTCGCAGGCAGATCAACTCCCTTCCAAAAGAAGCGAGAGCACAACTGTTCCACCCTCCTGATCACCTCAGCAGGAACCATAATCTGCCTACACCAATAGTTTGTTAAACTGAAAAGAACAGCACGTATAAGTTGGAGCCTACCGGCAAAGCTCAAATGCCTGTTAGCCCAAAGGTTCAACTGTGCCCTTATTTTATCAAGAAGAGGCTGACAATCAGCTATAGTAAGCTTCTTTGTAACCAGCGGGATACCCAAGTATCGCACAGGGAGCTTCCCTACTTTAAACCCTGTGTTCACACTTAGATCTCTACATTGATCAGCTGATATCCCAGCAATAAACATCTCGCATTTATTGATATTTAATTTGAGCCCAGAGAAAGAATAGAAGACATCCAAGATAGTTTGCACACCAATGATAGAATCAATGGAGGCTTTGCAGAAAATGGGGAGATCGTCGGCAAAGCAAAGATGAGTCAAGCCTATCCTTTTGCATTTGGGGTGAAACTTAAAAATGCCTCTAAGAGCTGCCACATTCAACAAATTCGATAAAACGTTCATAGTGAGAACAAAGAGGTAAGGCGAAAGAGGGTCGCCTTGTCTAACACCACGGCCACCTCTGAAATAGCCAACGAGACTGCCATTGAACATGATCGAGTAGCTCGGTTTAGTGAAGCATGCCCCAATCCAACCAATAAATTTCTCAGGCAAGCCCAATGCCTTCAGAGTAACCAAAATGAAGTTCCAATCAAGGGAGTCGAAAGCCTTCTGGAGGTCTATCTTCAACGTGCATCTAGGGGAAATATTTTTCCTATTATAACCCCTGACAATCTCTTGGGCAAGGAGGGTGTTGTCAACAATGCTTCTCCCTTTAACGAAAGCAGTTTGGTTTTTGGTTACCATGTCGGGGAACACAACAGACAAGCGCTTAACCAAGATCCTGGTGATGGTCTTATAAATCACAGTACAACAAGAAATAGGCCTGAAATCTTTGACTAAGCTAGGATTTGGCACTTTGGGAACAAGGACAACAGCTGTGGAGTTAAAAGCAGGAAGAATGAAAGAGTTGTCGAAGCAATACCTAACAGCAGTTGTGAAATCAACTCCAATAATGGGCCAAGCAACCTTATAAAAAAAATGATTATAACCGTCAGGTCCAGGGGACTTGTCGTTTGCCTGTCCCCATAAGGCTTCCCGAATCTCCACGTCAGAAACATCACGACATAAAACAGTGTCAGCACCCAGGGGAAGGGAGTAATTGAGGAGATCTTTAATTGTAGATGTGCTACAGCCCTTTACATTTGCATCGGTCGTACCCAGCTGATACTGAAAGAATTTGATCACCTCATTTGCCATATCATTGAAAATGTCGAGCCTAGTACCAGATTGATCAAAAAGAACCCTTATCGTACTGCTTTTCCTTTTGCTAGCCACCACCGAATGAAAGAAGCGAGTACCTTGATCACCCTCATTTATCCAACTGACTTTAGCCTTTTGCTTTTAAAAAAGCATCTCAGCTTCTTCAAGGGAATGAAGCTCCCTCTCAGCTTGCATTTCATCGTTGACAATACTGCCAGCAGAAAGATTTGCAAGTTGAATACGCATCAGCTCCTCTCTTTTCAGTTTCACCTGATTGGAGATGTCATTGAAGTGGATTTTGTTGAGATATCTGAGAGGATATTTTAACCGTTTGAGCTTTTGAAAAAGTACTTGGGCAGGATTACCCTCCACTGGAACCTGCCAAGAATCCCTAACGATGGCTAAAAAGTCCGGGTGCAGAGCCCAAAAATTAAAGAACCGAAACGGTTTAGGCCTAGTCACAGGGGCTGTTTTCCGGAGCCACACTACAGCAGGACAGTGCTCAGAATCCCCCGGGGCGAGGAACTCCATATCGGATTCAGGAAAAGCATCAATCCAAGCAGAGTTCACCAGGACTCGGTCCAGCTTGCGAGCCAAATACAAATCATGCTGCTTGTTTGACCAGGTAAGTAAGGGACCAGTGAACGGGTGGTCAAAAACCCCCAAGTTTTCCACACATCTCTGAAAGTCCGAGATATCAGCTAGAGTAGAAGCATTGATGCTACCCGAGCTCTCCTCAAGGTTCAAAATGATATTAAAATCGCCCCCAATCAGCCATGGAAGGTTGACAATATCCAGGGAGATTAATTGGTTCCATAGGTGTCTCCGAGCATTACCGTCATTCAATCCATACACTGCAGTGACACAAAAGCTCTGTCCCTCAAAAGAGCCCTTAATCGAAACACTCTGATCATACGCAGGGATGACAGAACAAGCCAGGTATTTATGCCAAAGAACCCAAATACGACCATTGAATACGTGATTATAGTTGCAATAGGAGTCCCAGTCACTAAAACTCCGGTTTAGAATGTCAGCAGAGTTAATTTCCTTAACACGAGTTTCCAACAGACAGAGGATGCTTATATGACAGCTAGTAGCCCAATTAATGACTTTCCTCTGTTTATGAGGATTATTAAATCCTCGGATATTCCAAAAACTAACTAACATAAAATAATGGGAGAAGAAGAGGTACCACCCCTGTCCTCCATTTTCTTCACTTTATCAAGTTGTTCTTTTTTCTTCAACTTTAAGTCCTGAACAAGTTTAGACACTCCTAAAGAAGCTGCTCTCTGCTTCTTACCATCATCAGCAGGCAGCAAATTTTCAGGATCAATTGAGGTAAGAACCTCAAACTTATTTTTTGAAGCTCCTAAAGCAACTTTAGGTTCTTTCCCTGGTCTACCCCGACCACGTTTAATAGGGGGATTACTTCCTGAATTCCCCACATGAGCATTTAAACCCGCCATATTATCTCTACTAGAATCAGCATGGACCTTCCCTACACACATCACTTCCACTAGTGTACCATTATTAGGAATAGACTGTTCAGAAAAATTCGAAGACTCAGTACATAACCCATAGCATTTCACCACAATCTCAGCTGGGCTTGTATTAACAATTTTCTCCTGAGCTGGTATTGTTTCAACACCATCACTCATCACCTCCAATCCAGCTAGACTGTTGTCAATAACACCCTGCTTAATTTCCTAAGGAGGAGCTTTTGCCTTCCATACCTGTACCTTCTTCTTCCCCAAAGGACATAATTTCATTGAATGCCCAAATTTCATACATTCAACACACGAGGCAGGAAGCCAAGGTACAAAAACCTTAATTCTCACTACAGACTCATCATAAAGAAGCACATCAACAAAATCTGGAATTTTCGAGCCAACCGAAATTTCAACACAGACCCTAGAATACTCAAGTCTCGCTCTAGAAGCAGTAATGGAGTCCATGTGTAAGGGCTTACCGATAGCACTAGTAATGTAGCTGAGTCCCTTCTTCGAAAATAATTCCAAAGGAACATTAAAGAGTTGAATCCAAATTGGCATACGATCCAAATCAAAGTGCAGCTCCTTCAAATTCGGTTCCCATTTCCTGAGGAAGAGGGGCTTATGCTGTACATGCCAGGGACCATTTTCTAAAACCCAGTCCCTGGCCAAGGAATTATCGAAAGAGAAAACAAAAAGGTTGGATCCGGCAAGGCTCACCTTCACCGGAGCGGCTTTGCCCCACATCAGATCAACTGTTTTCTGCAACAAGCCAAAGTTAGAGGTTGAGCCAATGAACTGCCCAACCAGAGCATGCCTCCATTCCAAAATACCCTCCTCGAACACATCTCTTGGAGGTTTCACCACGAGCAAACCCGCAGCCTCCGACGGGGGAAAAAAGTCCAATTCTTGCTCGTTACCTGCCGCAAATAAACTTCTCCAGTCTGTGGCCACACCAACAGACATTGCCCAACAAAACCCCCAAAGAATCAACCAGAAATTGAGCAAGAATCAAACAATCGAAGATCGAAAGAGAAGAAGGATAGCCCGCTTTCAGTCGTTGTTAGTCCTGCTAACATGCACCTAGAGAAAAAGCAAAACGTGCGCTAACCTCCCTCATTTGAATTTCCTTTATTTAAAGTCCAACTCATACATTTACTTGTACAAATATGTATCTTTTAACACGATAATTTTTTTTTATTATACCATTAATATATAAAATCATTATCATTATATTTTTAAGTGTATTATAAAAGTAAATAAAAAATTTGGGATGCTAGAGACCATTTATAATTTTTAATAATCGTTTGAATCTAAAATTTCAAAGGAGAACAATAACTTATTTTATCATTATGAGTTTAAAAGTAAATAAAATATTGAATTCAATGAATATAATTTAATATTTATCTAATTTTCATTTATAATGAAATTGTTAAAATAAATAAAAGGAAGGCTTACCTAAAATTTGACTAAAACATCATTTTTATTATATCTTTTGATTCTTCTGTTGTTGTTTAGCTGTTGATCAAAACATGTTAATTTTCTTTTGTTAGAGCTTCAAAAAGTCAAATTTCACACATTTTTACAGTTGCCAATCACTCAATATGTCTTATTCACCATATTTTATATAGTTTTCAAAGTACTTTTAAGATATATATTTAAACATGGTATAGATATAATTATGGAAATATTTTTTTTAAGAAAATATGGATAAAAGTAAAAAAATGTATTAAACTTATATTTATATTTAATAATATTTTTGAACAACATAAAAATTAAAGACAAAATGAGGCGAGTCTTAGTCTCCTTCAAATGATAAAAATATGATTTTAGTCTTATTAAAATTTAAAATTATAGCTTGACCTCTTAAATGATAAAATTTTATTTTTGTAATATATAAAACTAAAAATTAGAATAATAATAAAATTAAGATAAAAATAGAGCAACAATACTCTTGAAAAAATACGATAAAATTAAAATTTTTATCATATCTCAGTCAACAGGTTTACGTCTAACTCAAACAATCATCAATTCTTTAACGAAAAAGGACGAGTTTAGAATATATGAATAGTCGGATGATCATTTTGTAATTTTTAATAGTCGGGGACTCAACAAAACAACGTCATGTAGTCAGAGACAATTTATAATTTTTAATAGTCGGGACTTAACAAAATAGTGTCTCATAATCGGGGACTCGACAAAATAACGTCTTATAGTCATAGACCATTTATAATTTTTCGTGACTTACCAAAACAGTGCCCCATGATTGGGGGACATCTTGTATTTTAGTCTTAATTTAAATTCGATTTTGAAAATAATTTATGTAATTCTAAGTCAGATTTATTATTTAATATTTAATAATAAAATATAACTTTTATAAAATTAATATTTGATGTTTCGATAGTTGCCAATCCCTAATTAATAGTAATAAGACATCAAATTATATATTATAAGCGCATCAACTATTTGTTTATAAAAATATACTTAGAGATTGTTTAACCGCGTCCTCAAAAACGAAATTGTAATTTTGTATGAATAAAAGGGGTGATCATGAGATCTATTAACTGATTGAGTGATTAACGATGCATATATTATCTTATTTTGTATGAATTTAAATCTCGATATTATCTTAAAAGGTAAAACCTCTCGAGTGAGCATTACTAAAATAAATAATATATAAATATAAATAATGCATGGCATGGAATGGAGTGGTTCCATGTGTAGAATAAAGATAATAGAAGGGAAAGCAAAACACATGATTAAAGTTGCAAGTTGTGGTGCATGTGGAGTGTGGAGTGTGGACCATTTTATGAATGATTAAGTTTAGGATTCTTTTTTATAAAAATTAAATATTATATTATGGTTTGGGAGGACATTGGTGAATCATTAATACGCATTCCAAAAGGGGTGACACAAGGACATGGAAGGTTGTTTAAGCTTGAAGAATTCTCATTACAGTGCTTCCATTCAACACACTCTCAAAGGTTTGAGTAATATGGAAGCAAAATTGTTTTTGCATGCATCCTGTACGTATTCAAGAGGTGTTGAAAATGACAGTATTTTCTAAAAAGTTCAAATATTCATATTATTTGAATATTTTCTTCATAATTTATATTTATAATTTAAACAAAATTTTATACTTTTGTAATTCCTAAATTTTTAATATAACTACCTAAAAATTCACGTCCTCGGCATAAAAATTATTTACTCAATTTAAAATATGAAATCTATAATTTAGTATATGCAGAATATATCAAATTTGACACTCATTTACTTGTTTCTGGATTGCCCTTGCAAATGTATATATGGATAAAGGACCGACCCCATCTCAAACACATGAATAGTGTTTGCTTTTATTGAAAGGAAGGGGGTCCCGGTCTGTTCCAATCAAAGATATCAAACCGGCCATGAATTCAATTATTAATAATGTAAAAGAAGGGTGGGGGGGGGGGACGAAGAGAATTTATCCACAAACACACACAAAAAGACAAGAGAGAGAGAGAGAGTGAGAGAGAGAGAGAGAGACCCTTCATGTTGTTTTTAAACCTAAGCAGGCAAACACTTCATCAAAATTATTTTTTCTCTTTTCTTTAAATATATTTTTATTAGATTTTGTGTTAAAAATGATATGTAATTTGATTTAAAAAATCACAATATAATCAATTTAGTGAATAAATAAATTGAAAAGAAAAAAAAATCAATGGTGAATGTGAAGCTCTTGGATCAGTATGGTATACTTTTATTCCAACAAGGGTAATTATTTTAGTACAACTATATATGTATCAAGGTTTTAGGATTTGATGTATTCAGGAATCGTAACGGGTTAAGTTGGATCGAGTTCTTGATCAACTTGTCTCAACTTGAAAAACATACTCCTTCACCCATACTTGACTCGAACTAAGTTCAAAAAGGTACAATTCAATCTTAATTTAGGGGGGGAATCCACACATAATCTAAATTTGACATAAATATATATAAAAAAATTCTTATCTTTATTCGATAAAAAGACCTAATTGAAAAATAATTATATAGAGAGAGATATTATAATAATTATCTTTTAAATATATAAAAGAACATTATACTATTATCACATAAAAAGTCCGGAATTGTTCATCCTAAACTTGATCTAAACTCTAATTTTAAAAAAAAAAGAAAAATATGATCCTAATAAATTAAATCAAGTAAGAACATATTGATTTCGGATCAAATTACCATCCCTCCAGATTTTTTTTTTGTTATGTTTCATTTGAATTATAATAGACATGTTGTAAAATGATTCTCCCTCCCTATATATATATATATATATATATATATATATAAAAAAAACTTTTAGAAGTAGTGTATTATATGGAACGTATCTTACAGATATTCAAATTAGAATATCACAAAGTGCTTAATATATTTGGGGGTTTGGTTTTTGAATAATTTGAGTTCAATTCATAACGCGTTTATGCTTTTCTGTAACAATGCAGTGTCGAAGCCAATGAAGTTTCCTCGTCCTTTATACATTCCACCCAATGGTCCATTAATGGTGAAAGGGCTAAAACCAAATTCAAAACAATTCTTGTCATCTTAAGCTCTACAAAATAAATAACAATAGATTATACATATTTAATTTATTTTAGAATTTAAATTAATAAAAAATTAACGATTCATTTTTATTTTATAATCATCTGGGATGATTATGTATATCTGCTAAGAATCTTACTTAACTATTGATAACGTATATACATCCTGTAAACGCAATTGCTTAAGTTTGATATAACTAATTTTAACTTAAATTTTAAATATTGACAATCAAATATAATATAAATAGTAGATAAATTTAATTTTTAAAATAATTAAAATGTTCGAGTGCAAATTCTTATTGGAATAATAGACATCCAAGTTCAACCCATAACTATTCCTAAAAACAATAATTTATAATAGCTAAAAACTTAATTTAAGATGAGCCCATGTGTAAGTCCTCATCTTGTTCGAAGGCTAGTCCCTGAGTTTGTAAATTCAACCCATAGGTCCAACCCAATCGCAATCACTAAGCCTTTAAATGATTAAAATAAAGGGTAAAGTATACATATGGTCATCTGACTATATGATGTTGTTTCATTAAGTCTCCCAACTATTAGAAGTTACAAAATGATTACTTAATTATTCATATGTTCTAAACTCGTCTTTTTCCATTAAAATTTGATGGACATTTATGTTAGACATTAACATGCAAACTGTGATATCATAAAATCATATTTTAATTGTTTCTATTAGCATTGTATTTACTTTCAAACATTGACTCGACAACATAATGTTTCAAGCATTGGTTTGACAGAATAATGTAAAAGAAGGGTTGATCTATAAAATATAGCTCAAGTAGTTCTAAGATCATATTTTATTATATCCTAGTTAAAAAGTTAACGTCCAGCTCAGATGGCCGCTAATTTTTTTTATTGAAAATGACAAGTTTAGAACATATGAATAATCAAATGATTATTTTGTAACTTTTAATAATAGAGATACTATAAAAGATACTCTATACTCGAGAGATTATTTTATAACTTTTAATAGTATGGAGATTAAAAAAATAATACCATATAATCAGGAAATAATTTGTGTACTTTAACCTAAAATAAAAATATTCGAAAAATTTCAATATCATGACTTATAAAACGTGAGAGAATATAATGGCTGATGACTTAACAAAATTAAATTTTCTATTGATAATGAACACATTAAGTGATTAGATAATAAAAGGGAAATGTTATTATTCTTAAAGGTTATGACTTCAAACAGTTACTTTTGTAAGATATATGCAATATCAATTTATTAGAAAAATTTTATACAAATACTACATTATAATTATCCAAACTATTAAAAAATTTCTATTGATATTGTTATAATTATTGATAAAAATAATTTTGGATAAATTACGTATTTAATCATTTAATTATCACATTAATTTCATTTTAATCATT